TTTTTTTAAATGTTATAGCATCACAAGATTGTTCAGAAAAGAATATGGATACTGATTGATGATACATCAAAGGGATAATACAAAAGCAGCCTTACTTTTGTGTTTGTGCCAAAACATATGTTTTTGTTTGCTGTATTTTTCGCGCTTATTATCCTCTTATATTTTAAGAACCCACCACGCACACTTGTGTATCACGATTCCATTTCTAAATGACTCTATCTTGTTTTAAAAAGTACCACCCTTTTCTTCAAGAGATTCATGTTTAAGCTGTGTATGGAAATATCTGCTAATATAATAACATATTATAATAATATGCATGTATGTTATGTAAAACAACTAATTATAAAATGAAGTTATTATGTAAGGTAGGTATAAATAAACGGGCTTTTAAACGTCGTTTCTCTGATGTTTTATAAGCCAGAACATTTGTTATTATTGTTTCAAAAACAAACACTCGATTGCTTGTTGCCTTCTTGTAGAAAGAGCTTTAAGTATTTATCATGATTAATTCCATAAATTAGATTGTAGTAAATGTAAATAAGAATGTTGCTATGATTCAGTCAAATAAAATTACACTCGCAAAGTTCAATGGATTTATAAGGAAGACATTGTCCACAGCAGTAGTACTTGGTGATAAAAAAGCAATATATTGAATTTGCACTTTATTACATTATATCATTTACACTGTATAACGCACTCTGGTTAACTATACAAATTAAACTGCTGCTATTTACAATTTAATTTCAGTACTGAAGAAATGTTTCACAAAACACATTTTCCATAGCCGAAATTTTATTATGATAACGGCTTTTAATGCAAATAGTTTTATCTTACTTGCCTTAATGTGTAGGCTGCTAGATTAAGATGTTATTTTGCCGTTACTAAAAAATGATTGGAAAAAATAATGACATGATAATAAAACTCATTCACAAGTACATCTTTTTAAAAAAATAGAGGATATTGAATGAGTGTAGGTTTAATACTAAATGTATTGAACGAGTTGAATAAAATCACATTAGAGGCGAGCATATTGTTTTTTTCAACGAGTTCAATAAATTTAGTATTAAATCTACACAAATATCATATTTAATTTTCATATATAAAAAATAACAATAAACGGTTAAAAATGATTAATTTTTCCATGACGCACCCATAGTGTTAGGCTATCATTACGCGCTTTAACGCTATGTGTATATGTAGCGCAAATGACGTCACGTCAAAGTGTTATTACACGTCTAGTGAAGTTCCGTTTTTATTAAATGGCTTTATTACACTGCTCTTGCGCCTATGTTTATGTGATAAACCCATGTTCTTCATTAATATGTGTTTGTTGGCAAATGGTTATCAGACTTTTATCTCAATCACTCCGACACAATTGCATGTTTGTCTTAAATTACATATGCGTTTTTTTGTGTGCATTAAAACTGTTGCTCATTTCCTAAATGATCTCCAGTAATATCTATCGTCATTATTCAGTTTTAATTAAGCAGCATCTTGTTAAAAGAAATATTAGAATGCAAGTGAATGTTAAAATATACAGTTTTAATGTTATTCATGCAATCGATATCTGAGAACGTACTGCCTGTTAAACTTTTGCAACAATTAAAACGACCCAATATAATCTCTTTCTGTATAACACACATTGTAATGACGAAAAATGTCATTAAACATCCTTTTTTATGTCGGATTCCTGACTGTAGCGTACCTGTATTGTCACAGTATAAAAATAGTACTACTTGTACTGACGTAATGGAAATTTTGTGACGCAACGCTTCCTGTTAATTTTAACAAATGTGCAGATCTAAATTAACATTCGTCCTTGGGTTTTCTGCAGTTATGAAGTGCACACTTACATTTGCACACCGACATTCTTTTTCAGCCATTTTACGCATGCGTAAATCCTCCATTGTATAATATTAGACAGGTGGTGTGCTGCATTATGAAATGAATACATAAACTATAAAGCTCTATCTCTTGGTGATGTTACTCTAAATTAAAATAATTTGAATTATTGTTTCAAATAAACAGAATACTAAAAGAATGATAATCAACAGACACAACAGTAAAAACTAAGTACACCTTTCTGAGAAGTCAGCTTAAAAATAACAATATCAACATAAAAATAATAATAATAAGAAGAAGAAAATAATAATAATGATAAATAATAACAATGATAATAATAATGATGATAATGATAATAAAGGATAAAAACTAGCTGACACGATATAAACAATCATTAGGTGAATAATAAAACGCAGCAAAATATTAAATTAAACTAATATATAAATATTTAAAATTATATTAATTTATGGAGATTGACATTTGAGCCGCGTCACAACAAAACCAACACAGTGCGTTTGCGACCAGCAGGGATCCAAACCCGCCTGCGCATCAGCGCAATCTGATCAGGATCCATGCTGTTCGCTTACCAACTCTATTACAAGTAAAGAAACTGACAGGGAACAGTATGGATCCTGATCAGATTGCGCGGATGCGCAGGCTGGTCTGGATCCATGCTGGTCGCAAACCCACTATGTTCGTTTTGTCGTGACACGGCTCATTTAATATTTGCATCCCACATACATTTGATATTGATTGAGGACAAATTCGCATTGCAGTTAAGGATTCTGAGCTCCTATAAATGTTATATTTTGCTTTTAAAGTTTGAATGATATATTTGTATCTGCAAAATAATACGTATACTTTTTTCAAAACAACAGTGTTTCTCGCTATATTTTTACAAACACCAGTACCATACTTATTGAACACTTTTTTGACCCTAATGGGCGTAATTGTATTAACAATATTTCAGATATATATTTATTCTTGTCCGGAAATGTAATTGTGTCTTTGGAACCAAATTATATGTATAACAATACAACCATTGTAGGTGTATTGCGTAAAGTAGTCAATGGTTGCTAAGGAAAGTCAATGGTTGCCTTGTTGCTTTTGGAAACTACTAACAGCTAAAGATAGTCACTTGTTTTTAAAGAAATTTAATGGTTGCTGAAAAAGACACTGGAAAATATTGATATCAATTCATTATGGTGTAATTATTGGTTGCCAAGGGAAGTCAGAGTTCTTGCTCTGCAATCAATGGTAGATTACGGAAATGAATGGGTTCTATAAAAGTCAATGTTTGCTACAGATAGCATTGGCGTTATGAATTAATTTGCAAAATCATACCTACTAAGGAAATCGCAATCATCCGTAACGGAATCTTCAGCTCTCGGGTAACGCAAAAAGGAAACATGTCAGAGCCTCGTTGCGCCTAAAATCAGTAATCTTCGAGCTAGATATTTGTAAGTGTACAGCAAATGATAAGTGTTTTTAATGAATTTTTAATGCACGGTACAAAGTTTTCTATCCCGAGGCTATAATTTTAAATCGCTTGGTAGATGTATATTTTATTTTATGAATTAAGTAAACATTCAAAATTCGGTGTATTATATTGTCTAAGAAACATTAAAAGTATATGGTAATGTAATAATCATTTAAGATCACTATCCTGAAAAGGAAGATAATTCGAAAAAAAAAGAGAAAGGCATCAACTTTTATTTTCATAATGAAAAAAGTGTTTCTTTTTGGAAAATCCATTGTAAAGAAAACCAAAAAACAGGCGTGTTTGTAATTCGTAGAAGGTTTTTGTCGATTGCAATTTATATTCAAACAACGTTGAGTGAACAGGTTTTGTAAACATTTCATCAAGATTAAATACTCCCAGTTAACTTTATATAAACTTAATAAAAAGCAAATTCAAAATCCCAGTTTTCAATTTTAACACATAATTTGTCAAATTAGCGGGACATTGATTATCTTAATTTGATAAAACATCTTCAATTTTGAGACGAATGTGTTTTCATTTTAAATGTTACTTTATTTCCTTGACAATAAATCACAGTCCTCTGAGAGTCTAGCAATGCTCCGTAAAGAATATCGACTTATCAATTTATCGCATGTTTTATATGCATACAGTTACACTCAGTGATACATAATTTGAATAAAAGTTAAATTCTAACACAATCCGCAGTTTCCCTATGGAACAGAAGGACTGAACATGTGTGTAAATATGTCATAAAATTACTGTTGACGTTCTACTTTCTTAAAAACGAAGTAACCATTCAAAATGCGACGCGTTGCAAATAAGTTCGGAATCAAATCAGGTATAATGTGGCTTGCTATCTAGTATGGCAGCATAAATTTATTGATGTCTTACTAGAATCGAAATAATGTTCCCCATGCAGTGTCATGAACTCAAAACAGTGATTTTAATTCTGCCATAAAATAAATTTGGGGATGTATCATTTCTAAAACAAGAAACATACTAGAAAAAAAGGAACACACTGACATGTTAATATTAATTACTATAACCATCTGTCAAATTAATTGAGAATATGTGAAAGGAGAAGAATAACAAAACAACGAGTATTGCCCTTTGATGTAAATCAGTATTTCTTAACACATATTCATGCACATATATACTTCTAAATGTATGTTTTAAACATATATCATTTTGAAGTTCATTACAACTGTAGACGCGAAAAAAATAGTCACGCAGGGAGGAATTGCATTCTTATCAATTATTTGATTCATATGGACAGTACATGTTGCTATGCTCTGTATCACATACGGAAGGATAGAAGTAGCGTTGTATATGCATAATTACACGTAAAACATAAAAGAAGGCTAAGTTTGTTTTAATATGGGCAATACTGTGTTCATTTTTAGGCTTTTTTTAAACAAAGGCTCTTTGCCTTAATCAAATTATACCTTTTAATTGAAAATTGTTAATAAAGTGTCGGTACCTATGGAAACCCATGTCAAATTACCTCATGTCTTTTGAAATACAGGCAAAGATACAAGGAGGCATAACCATTCTTACTTATCAACCGTTTTAAAACTAGAACAACTAGCTTTTTGATTCGGAAAAAAAATCTTTCTTACATACAGTTTTTTTGGCAAAAAGAGTTAAAACAAATAAAAAGCAAAAACAAAACATGTCATGCTTTATTATTTAATGTGGAACATTACAATGTGGAACATGACAGTTTTTTTTCTATTATCCTGAAATAAAAGAAAAAATATATTTTGATCAATAATACGTGTATCTTAAATTATAAGAAACGTTATCAAAAAAGGCTTATGTTACTTAGATAGTTTAATCCGAAATTGAAAAACACGAGTAAGTATGTGCTTTACAGTTTTGTCATATTGAACCTCAATGTTCTGAATATGTAATGGTCATACAAAGCATATCACTCTCACTGATTCAGAATTGTATTGAGTTTCAACAATTTTGAAGAAATAAAAACCTTATTAATATGCTATACAAATATATTAAATACACACACAGCACATGTAAAATCAAACAATTACCAATTATTATTGATCCACCATGGTTATGTGTAGTGCAATTTGTGTTACAGTAGTCTTCCGTACAACACGAATGGCAAATAGGTGTCGCTCTCTTCAATGAGACATTCCCGTCGTCGCTTTCAAATCCACACTAGAAGACATAGGAAAGCAATATTAGATATCTCTTGTATTTTAAGAGCAACTTTGTTATCAGGGATGCACATGGTTCATGCAGTCCATTTACACAATCAAGAAATGTACGATATAACTAAATATGTATACATGTTTAATCATTGTGTATATTCCTTTTTTATTGCAAACGTTTTCCATGCAAAACTTCAGCAGTAAATTCTGCCTAAACCGGGGACTTTTACGGTTACTTGCACTATCAAGGACAATCAATCATACCGAGCCTGCCACATTTTTAATTTTGTAGTTTTTTGGCTTTCTTTTGTCCCTTCGGGAATCATTTCTTTTTTTCCCCTTCAGAATCCCTATAACTCATACTGACATAATATTAATCATCACGTTTCAACGAAATATGATTAAAAAGTGAAATTTATTCAAATGTTGATCTGTCATAGACACTTTTGTTAACATAAACATAATAAGCTTGCTGCCCTGCATTCATAATAATATTTTGTACCCTCTTTGCCCATCAAACTACATTATATTTTATGTTCATATTTACTTTAAGATATACTAAGTTAATCTTGGAGTATTAACACAGAAAATTATTTAAATGAATAAAATTCACTTAATTTATAAAATTCATACTGAAAATGTTTAATTTGAATGTAAGAATGAATAAACTATGTACATTTGTATGTGAAGCTGTCTTCTTTACAAAAAATAACAGTTTTAAATGAAACTACATATTTATTTTGTGATCACCTGTAGTCAGTAAAATTGTAAACAAAACATAACTAAATTATGTGTTGTCAAAACATGTTTATCTTATATCTATTAATTATATTTACTTATATCATACTTGAGCATAGTATATCTTTAAAAGACATATTGATCAGTAAGTAATTAATTGTGCTGCAATTGATAAGAATTTGTTTTGAAACTTGGCAGTTAATTTCTCTCCTATTTAAAGATTCTAAACTTGTATTAAATCAAAAAAAAAAGCAGAACACAGAAGTTCTTATTCATACGTTTCATGACATTGCCACATCTTCTATTGCAATATATCTATGATTGTTTTATCTCGTACATCAGTAAAACGTGAGAGCAAAAGGTAACACAGGTAATGCTATAAAACACTTTTACAAAGTCATGCAAGATATATTAATCTAGATATTACGTTACCGATCCATGACCACATCCAAGCTTAAAATGAGTAGAACCAAACCATTCATACTCCTCGATGCTACAACTCTGTAAGGACAAAGAAATAAAGAAGAAGAAAAAACTCGTATGAACACATGTGGGGATGTTTCTAAATTCAAAATTTTACCATTTTTGTGTTAAATGCCGATTTCTGCACAGGCAAGGGGGGCAATGGCGGTAACTTGCACTTTCCAGTACTGTCCATAAAAAGAATCAGTCAAACCGAGCCTGCAATATTATCAATCTTGTTGTGTTGGGATTTCGGGGGGAATTTTGTTTGTATCTATTTTTACTGTACTGTTATTAATATGTCTTAAAAATAAAAAAATTGTCATTTTAAATTTGCATTTCTATTGAATCTAATATTGTAACAAATCTACCTTAAAGTGCTTATGTTTTAGGTACTACTTGCTATAATTATGATGTTTAAAATAGTCTGATGTAATTGTTTGGCGTTAATTATCGTATTCACAAATTGTTATTTCATTCCGCCTCTTGTTCCAAGTCAACTTTTCAGGCACCATAATATTGCAATTTTCTTCAGCAATGCATATTACTTGTGGTTTCTTATCATTTTGTTTTCTTCATTATCTATTTATTTTTATTTTGCTATTTATCTTTTAATTAAATGCATTCACTTACATAGTAACATTTAGAATTAAATTCATTCTTAGTAAAAAAAGAGAAAGTAGTTGCCACTATATACCTGGTGTGACTCGCGAGGAGTTATATGTTCGCATTCAGCAGGGGATCTCACGTGCTCGCAGTCAAAGCATATTGGTCCCCTATTTTGTCTGTCCGGTATGTCTTAAAAAAATAAATAGGTTATGCATTCATTATGCCACAGAGTACATGCTATACTACAAGATTATAACCCTGCAATGGTATAAACATACAGCATGTGAAACAGGGTCCTTTAAAGATCATATCATTTATCTGATTTTTGTTTGGAAAGTAACAAATATGTATGTTTTTGTTTATTTATGTAACGTTTCAATTTAATTTGTAAAGATTACCAATCCCTTAAAATAGATCTTCCTTTAAAAGTTTGTGTACAATATGATCATAAGCTACTGTCAAATTTAAATATACTTTTGAGATAATGAGATCCATATTTTCCGGTAAACAGAAATGCAATATTTATACACACAACTACATCAAACTAACCATTTTCTCCACATCCTTTGTTGTTACAAAAATTACCATGGCAACAATCAAAACAAAGATCATCAGATCCGTTCAAATCATTCCGTTTTAGGTAGCATGTCTGAAAGAAGTTTGAAAATATGATAAATTTAAAACTTTTTTATCTAGTTTTAAATAATAACTCATTTATTTGATAAAACAGATGAACATGAATTAGTACAGTATTTCCTATGTGTCAAATCTTGCAGTTTGATTTTTCTCTCAATGTGTTAAATGAATGTCAAAAATTGTCCTTCTTACATTTTTGCTATTCCAGAACTATAAATAAGCTTAAGTTCCATGCGTCGACTTAACGATGTGTCGAAGTTCTTAATGTGGTCTGTTAAGTATAGTACAGGAACATTTCACTACAATTAAAATGTAGTCAAAGTTTTGATTCCTTAAAAAAAACCACGTAGAATGAATAGTCATAAATTTGACATTGATACTTCATTTTTACCATTTGAGATTGTCAGCGACACAATGGAGCGTCTATGTAGAGAAACCTACTGGATTCATAAGCTAAAGACGATTTCAACATCTGGATTAAATGCAAAAAATATATATGACATTTAATTATTTTCGTAGGTTCTTTGGCGTAGACATTCCATTTAAAAATGGATACATAGTTACTTTTTCCCATATAACACTTTATGTCACGTTGAAGGTTCCATAGTAACCGCCGTATGAACACATCTGCGGATGTTTTTAAATTCAAAATTTTACCATTTCATGTTTTAATGTTGAATTCCTTTTAAGCCGGTGCTAGGGGGGCGTGCACGGTTGTTTGCACTTTACAGTACAGTCCATGAACAGGCTCAATCAAACCGAGCCTGCAACATTTTCAATTGCGTTGTTTTGGACGTTCTTTAGGGATTCTTTTTTCTCTAGTTCATCTGTTTATTACATGTATTCACGTTACATAACATTCACGTTGTGTCCTATTATTGTTTTTTTTTATATTTTCTATACAGGAAATACTTGCGTTTCATAATCCGTGAATGTTGATATATATATTTATATCAAAATCTTAAATAATTTTAATGGATTTTAATAACGTTACGTCACATTTCCCGCCATCTTTGACGTTGACGTCGTGTGACGTCACTTCCTGTTTATTCACTGACGAAGAACATACTAGTTTTAAATCGATATGAATAGTAAATTATTGAATGTTCGCGTGTGGTGGGTCTTATTGGAAACATATCGATTAATTTTACACATTCGATCTCTACATATCTTTCCAACGTTTTCTAGCTGTGATTATGGGTGCCGATCAAGTGTCTGTTTATATGGCGCCTTAACAGTAACTAGCTTGTTGCTAACTTCCGAGCCTTACAACAAGCAGCATCAAAAACCAACACCAACTTTCATGCAAAAGCTACGATGCGGAGACTCCATTGATTCTAACCCTTTGAGTCGCCTTTTAAGATCACGCAGGGATAAACATAAGAAGCAACCCTTCATTCACAAGGGCAGCCGATCGACTTGCATGACATTCCATGAGTTTGAAATTGCAATGAGTTAGCAGTTGACAAAATAACCTACTTTCTCTTCAATGCAGCCTGCTATGAACCTCATCCGCCCATATTGTTCAAACCTTTCAATGAAGCATATCTGTAAAAAAACGATATCATTGATTTGACATAGAAAGACACAGTTATTTACAACATTGACTTAAGTAGATAGGAAACTCACGCACGCCATTACAATAATGCTTACGCATTAGTTTTATGTCATTACGTAAAGGTACAAATTATTAAACATATTCATTTGTACTTTATTCATACAAGATAAAAAATTTTCAACAGACAAGGTTATAATGTGTAAGATTTTTTATTAACTCAAACCAAATATAAGATTATGTTAATATGTTTCATTTAAATATTTTTTTCAGTGTTTGTGTTTGGAATACTGATACACAATGGCCGAAAATGTGAATGATAGCGCAAAACCCGAAACACCCTTTTTTGAACCTGGTCCGCAAATTTAAAAAGAAAATTAAATCATGATGCAAGGTTAACAATTTTGCGGTGTAAGAAAGGGAATAATCGACGTAACCTCATTTGTGTTGCACTGGTGTACTGTATCACACAAGCCTGCATGAGTTAAGTCATCACAATTATAGCATGTGGGTCCAAACATTCGTGCTGAAGTATTATGATCTAAAAATCATTGAATTATAATAAAGAGGTGAGCCCTCGTCAGATTGAAAAGAAAACAAAAAACAAAACAAAGCTGCTCGTTTTTATTGAAAACTTTTAACATACGGTAGTAAAGAGTCAGGATATGTAAATGATGTGTTTGTAAAGTTAAACAATCGTAAGTCATTATTCGTATCATTGAAACTATATTCTTCATTATCTTTTGTCGAAAGTAGAGATTAACGGCGTCTGCGGTTATATTTCTGATTGAAGCAAAATACACAAAAAATACGAAAAAAGAGTTATTATAAATAAATAAATTGAAAACAATTGAATATAAATTTACTATTCAATAACATGATTCAAAGATATGATACAAATAATAACTATCCTTTATGATTAACTCACGGATCATTTTTGTTCTTTGATAAATATCTAGTTTTTGAATCAATTAACAATATTATGTTAATATATGAATGTTAACATTATTGACTATTGTTTCATTGCACGAAAATAGTTTCTATACAAACTTCCAGTTATCTTCTGATAAACATTTTTTACATTCGATTTCAATTACTTTAAGTATATTTGTTTGATTGAAATACAATATTGTGTAAATCAACTCACAGGTCACAGTGGTAGCCCTTGTTGTCTGAAAGTTTGAAGTTGTTGATGTCGTCGTAGTAACTGTATGCGTAGGTAATGGTGTTGAATGCAAGCAGCCTCCTTTAAATCATTAACACAATAAAAAATATAATATAAACAAACTTCAATTGTATAACTGTGAGACATGCCTTTATGTTCTTAATGTATAATAATTATAATATTATTTCGTTTATTGATACACGATTAATTAAAAGATATTTTCATGGAAATGAAATTGTGTAGATGTAAAACGGTTTTTAGATACTCATGCAGTAAAGAGCTATACTGTAGAAGATCAACTTAAAACCTCATGTTTCATCTTAATTCAAATATATCATAAATACAAACTGTACATGCTCGTGCATAAATCAAATATCTAATGTTGCTTGGTTACCTTTCAAATCATATCCCGGATAGAACCCATACCCTAAACCGAAGCCAATGTGACGTCCTAGACCGTAAACAAATACGCCAAATTTTATCCATTGCAAGGAATGAGCAAAATGATGGTATCCTGCCTTTATTTCGAAAACGTTGATAACATAGTTATCAAAAGGTGGAGGGACATTGAACGTTTTTCGTGGCCCATTATTATACGCCTGCAATGAAAGGCCATCAAGTGTTAGACCTGTTTGATGTAATCTTGGTATGATAATTGCCACATTAGATTTGACATCATAGTATCCAACAGGTACAGAAAACTTATAATCATTCAGATATTGGTTAACCCCTGGGACAACTGCCATGAATGGATCTCCATTTATGTTATCAAAGTCATATCCAACACCATATTGACTGACCGAGAAGCTGCTATTTGCTGTAAGAATAACTGTGTCATTTCCAAAATAATGTTTGGATAAAGACGGCTTATACGAATATGCATGTGTGTGATTTGCTATTTGTACTGTTAACAGGTCATCTCTTGATTGAATTCGAAGCATAAGGCAGATTTGGGGAAATACCGGTGGAACAAGACTTG